TCCTCGGCCACCCTCTCTCATTCTCTATTTTACAAGTGATTATTAGGTTTCATTGATTTTATCTCCCTTATTTTTTTCGGGGTGGGGGACCACAGGGTCTCACCCTGTCAGGTAAGCGCAGTGCAGTGGTACCTTTGTGGCTCCCTGGAGTCAGGGGCTCCTGGGCTCCTCCTGCCTCAGCCCCGGAGTAGCCAGGACCACAGGTATGTGCATATATGTGCATGAGTGTGCTTACATCTTTATATAATTTTGTATCTATTTTTTACATTCAATATTTTTATAAGCACTTTCCCATGTTACTAAACATTTTTTGTAAACAGTACCTCTGATGAGGCATAAAATTCCATTACACACATATCAAAACTCATTTTCCTATTGTTGGATCTTTAGATTGTCACTGGATTTTTTTTTTTTTTTTTTACTATTTTTAACAATACTGGAAATAACTTTTTTTATGTGGATTTTTCTTTTTTGTTCACATTTTATATCTTCTTAGAATGGATTCCTAGAAATGGAATTACTGGAATAAAAGGTATGAAAATATTTTTAAGATTATTGATACATACTGCCTTTCCAAAAGGCTATGCTAACTTACATTGCCACCAGCTGGGTAAGGTGTCCTCTGTGCCTCTGAGACGGTCCCTCCTGGTCTCTGCTCTGGAATTCACACCCTGTGTGGGCCCCTTTAGTTGATCTATGTGACCAATAACATAGGGCAGAAGTGACGGTATGTTACATTTTCCAGAGTAAGTTATAAAAAAGATTGTGGTGTGGGACAGACACATGCACCATCAGGGATCATTTGCTCTGGGAGAAGCCAGGCAGTGAGCAAAGCCAGAGAGAGAAACACGGTGAGAAACGGAGCCTCCTGCCAACAGCCACAAGAGGGAACTGTTTCTCCTGTTTCATTGTTTGCTTTTGCAATTTTTTTTTTTTTTTTGCCTTTTATGGCCGGGGCTGGGTTTGAACCTGCCACCTCCGACATATGGGACCAGCGCCCTACCCTTTTGAGCCACAGGTGCTACCCTGCTTTTGCTTTTTGATGTACACAAACTTTGTTTATAATTTAATCTCTTTCCCTATATACTTTCCTTCACTACCTTTAAATTAAAAAAAAACTTGCCAAATTAATAAATATGCATGGCAAAAAGTCAAATAATTCTAAATATGGAATTTTTATGATAAAAACATCATAGAATGTTTATAGTGCAAAACAAGAGTTCCCTGCCTTCTCCTTCAGTGTCTCAGTAACTCTCTCAGGTGGCATTTGGTCAGAGAAACACCACTGGGAGCGGGATCTAAGAAATTTTATGTGACTGTGAGAGCTCACTGAATGGTCTATGTAGGGCTGTTGTGTCTGGAGCTGGGGTCTTAAATGAGCTGGGCCCAAAGTCAAGAAAGGGAGAAGAGACACACCCTCACCAAGCCTCCACCTCAGATGACACAGGTGCCCTGCAGGAGAAACTGTGCACTTAGCCGGGGCTAAACGTGCACCTGGCCCAGGAGCTGCTGAAGCTAAAGTCAATCCTGAGTGCTCTCCCAGAATCATGGTGTGAACATAAGAAATTAATTAAGTCTTTGCATTTAATTTCTGAGCTGATCATTTAGCTCCCTTGCAAGAGTTTAAGAACTGCTATTTATGAAATGTTCCATATATGTATGGGTTAAAAATCAGTGGTCCCTCACTCGCTACCAGTTGGGCAGTGTGCAATAAATATGTGTGCATGCCCTTTGTAGAAAACTTGGGAAAACACTTAAAAATATAAAGCAGAAAATAGTAGCTATAGAAAACCTCTGCTGATGCACTAACATTCTGGGAGTTTCTTGTTTGTGGAATGGATTTTTTTTTTTTGAGGCAGAGTCTTATTCTGTTCTCCAGGCTAGAACGCAGTGGCATGATCATAGCTCACTGCAGGCTTGAACTCCTGAGTTCAAGGGATCCTCCTGCCTCACCCTCCCGAGTTGCTAGGACTACAGGTGCACACCACTTGGCTCAGATGTATATTATACAGTTCTATTCCTGCTTTTGTTCTCATATATTGTGAACCTGTCCCCTATCACTAGCAATTTTCATTTTAGACGCACTGTATTTTATCTAAGCCTTCCCTTCTTGTTGTCCATTCAGGTTCCTCCTCCCTAACCTTCTCCAGGCTTACATTTCTTACATGTGGGAGGGACACCCTCCTACAAAAGGTATGGCTCACGGCTAGGCACTGTGGCTCATGCCTGTAATCCTAGCACTCTGGCAGGCTGAGGCATGACAATTGCTTGTGCTCAGGAGTTTAAGACCAGACTTAACAAGAGTGAGAGCAGTCTCTACTAAAAATAGAAAAATAGGTAGGCATTGTGGAGGGCACCTGTAGTCCCAGCTACTCAAGAGGCTGAGGCAGCAGGATCACTTGAGGCCAGGAGTTTGAGGTTGCAGTGAGTTATGCTAATACCACAGTACTATAGCCTGGACAACAGCGTGAGACTCTGTCTCAAAGAGAGGAAAAGAAAAAAAAGGTGTGGCACAGATATCTGGTGTGAAGTAAGCAGCACAGTTCTTTTTTTTTTTTTTTTTGAGACAGAGCCTCAAGCTGTCCCCCTGGGTAGAGTGCCGTGGCTTTACAGCTCACAGCAACCTCCAACTCCTGGGCTCAAGCGAGTCTCCTGCCTCCGCCTCCCAAGTAGCTGGGCCTACAGGCGCCCACCACAACGCCCGGCTATTTTTTTTGGTTGCAGCCGTCATTGTTGTTTGGTGGGTCCGGGCTGGGGATTCAAACCCGCCACCTTAGGTGTACATGGCTGGCGCCTTAGCCGGTTGAGCTATAGGCGCCAAGCCAGCAGCACAGTTCTTAAAACATACCCAGGGCAGCTAAATAAAATCCACAAAAATGCCTCTGCCTTTCCTGAGGCATGACATAAACTTTGTCCTGAGCATTTATTCTGTCCCTATGGATACATAACACACATACACAAAACGCACAGGATTTCCCCCATTGTTTATATGATTCCACCTACTTATGCCTGGAATGGAATTGATTCAAATTTTATGATGGGAAACTTAGACCTGGAAAATCCTTTCACAGCTGAGAACCAGAATGGTTTAAGATAATTTTTTTTTTAAATACTTATGTTAAGCTTTATTTATGTAAGAGAAATTATCTTAAAAACATCACTTTAAAACAATCTTAGAAACAACCTACACTAATCCAGAATATAACAATTTTAAATTCTATTTGAGTTGACTATTCACAATAGAATTTGAAGTATAAGCCAAAGTTAGTATAATCTATTATTAGCTAAAAGACCAACAAGCATTTTAGTTAACAGTATTTAATTTGGACTCCAAGCATCTCCCATAAGCAAGGGCTAGGGTAGTGCCATGGGAGTTACAGAGTGAATAAAACACAGCATCCCTGTCCTCCAAGCAACACAGGGATAAGAGTGGGAACTCAAATGTAATGACAGGGTAGAGACTTCAAGGAGCCATGGGAGGCCAGAAAGATCTCATGCAGAGAGACTTTGAGGGCCTGAAGAAAGGCCTTTGGTAAAGTTGGAGGAAATAGTATGAACAAGGGCTCAGAGCCAGGAAAAAGACAGTGCACCAGGGCAATATTTCAGTGAGAAAGGGGAGACCAGGACAGGACCACAGACTAGGACCACATCAGTGCAGGCCTCAGATAACAGGAGAAATTGAACCCGTAAGCAATGGGAGCCATCATGTTGGTTGAGGAAGTGAAAATCTACTCTAAAAGATACTACACAAGTACCAATTTATAAACAAATAGCTGGTTTTACACTGGTTTTTAAATATGTCCTCATTGTAATAAAGATCTTACATTAAATGTTCATTTTACCATCCTTTGCTTTTTCTAAAATCTATTACTTATTGATAAAGAATATCTGCTCCATTCTAAGTACTATAATATTGTTTTTTGGTTTCTATTTTAAAAATTTATTTTTATTTATTTATTTTTTTGAGACAGAGCCTCAAGCTGTCCCCCTGGGTAGAGTGCCGTGGCATCACAGCTCACAGCAACCTCCAACTCCTGGGCTCAAGCGAGTCTCCTGCCTCAGCCTCCCAAGTAGCTGGGACTATAGGCACCTGCTACAATGCCTGGCTATTTTTGGTTGCAGCCGTCATTGTTGTTTGGCGGGCCTGGGCTGGATTTGAACCCGCCACCTTAGGTGTATGTGGCTGGTGCCTTAGCCGCTTGAGCCACAGGCGCCTAGCCTATTTATCTATTTTTAAATAGAGTCTCGCTCTGTCACCTTGGGTAGAGTGCAGTGGTATCATAGCTCATAGCAACCTCAAGCACTTGGGCTTGAGCAATCCCCTCTTGCCTCAGCCTCCCCAGTAGTTGGAACTATAGGTGCCTGCCACCACACCAGGCCAGTTGTTCTGTTTTTAGTAGAGACAGGGTCTCAACTCTTGCTCAGGCTGGTCTCAAACTCCTGAGCTCAAGCAATCCACCTGCCTTGGCCTTCCAGAGTGCTAGGATTACAGATGTGAGCCACTAGGCCTAGCCTGGTTCTAGCCTGGTTCTGTTTTTAAATATCATTTTTGGGTAGAAAGCACTAAATTGTTTAAATGACATAAAATAATTCCAAAGCAAATACATAGTGAAAAATACATTTTATCCAAAAAATTTGAACATTGGCATTTACAAAGTTATTAACAATGTTATTTACAATCAGTTTTACTATAGCACCTGTGAACAGAGAAATGACTATTCACATGGAGCTATCTTTAGTTGCTTCTAACTCACAAACTCTGTGTAGAAATACAGTAACACTTAAGTCTGCCATAGCTCAAAATCATCGTGATCCACTTTGATTCTGACAAACCTACCTGGGGATGAAGAAGCTGACCGGGCTATAAATCCTGTGGTTTGGGAGGAGCGTCCTTTTGGCTCAAACAGTGAAGAGCTACTCTACTATAAAGATCAACTGAAAGAGTGTTTTTTTTTTCTTTTCTCTTTTTTTTTTTTGCAGTTTTTGGCCAGGGCCAGGTTTGAACCCACCACCGCAGGTATATGGGGCCGGCACCCTACTCCTTGAGCTACAGGTGCTGCCCTGCCTGAAAGAGTCGGGATGCCTGTTTGTGACACAAGAACTAGATGAAAGTTTTTAAAAACCTAGGCTGATAAAATCATCAACCACTTTCCTTACACTTACAGCAGCCAAAAGTCTGGCAGAACATTTTCTAAATGAGTAAATGAGGCCGTGTGGCTTCATGATCGATACTGTTGGTCACAGAAACATTTTATTTGATTAAGCGTTTGGTCAGGAATCCAAACTTTAATTAGTATATTCTTCTTTTCTTAGAAAAATACAATCCATTTTATGACTTCCTAGAAATAAATTATGGGAGGAAATAGACACTACCTGTTCCTAATATCTCCCTGGAAATGACAGTCTTGCTGGAGCAGACATACACATATAGAATGTAAAATTTAATTCCAAAATATTTTTCATGCTTGTCTAATCCTTTTAATTTTCTAAGTAGTTATAAATAATCTAATGGTTACTAGACAGTAGGGAAAAAACTTCTTCCATTTAAGAATTTCATGGAAAGAAGTATGTGATGTGGCCTGTGCTATAATAGTACAAATACAAAGTAACTGGAAATTCAGATTTAATTTGTTAATTACAAGTGATTAGCAACCGTTTCCTTAATGGTTATTGCAGGAGTCGGTCCAACATGAGTCCATATGTAGCCCTTCTCTGGTCTGGTGGGAACTGTGGGGAAAGGTGATGACCGTGACTTGAAATACTCAGAAGGTGCGTGACAAACAAATTCCAAGTATTCCATCTTCCTTGGAAGATCTTCCTCTGGCCCTAGAAGGGCGCCAATGGAAAGGTTAAACACATTTTGGAACATAGATAGCATTTTCGGAAAATGTTAAAATTCCTAAAGCCTGGGAGAGAAGACTCTAGGGGTGACCTGACATTAGCCCTTAAAACATGCATTACTCTGAAATTATTCTCCATCATCCTTTCTCCTTCTTTAACTGTTTAAGGCATGTGACATTCTCCCCCAAATAGTGACTCCACAGAGAAAGGATTCTAAAAATAAATCTGAACACTTCTATAGTGTTATTATGTGCCCACACTGTTCTAAGTACTTATATATACCAATACTTTGAATCCTTATAACACTGTGGTAGGTGCTATTATTATTTCCATTTTATATATGAGGAAAGTGAGGCAAGACAGATTAAGGACCCTGCCAAAGTCACACACAGCTGCTAAGTGGCAGAGCTGTAAACTCAGGTAGACTGGCTTAAATCTTTGTTCTGACCTCCAACAGGGATGAGCATCAGAATCTGGGTATTAGGAAGAGGTGGGAGAGGAGTCCTGGAGGTGATCTGGACACATCACCGCCTCTGCCAGGACTCTAACCCACAGATTAGGCAAGTGAAAGTCCACTGTTCGTTACATTTATCAGCAGAAAACCACAACTGTTTGGTCATGCAAAAACTTGATATGTAGGTGAGAACAACAGCAGTATGCTACTTGTCCCTGGAGTTCTCTCTGAAAAAGAAAAATTTATATGTTTTTTTCCTCAGGATGCAAAAGTAATGTATGCTCACTGCAGAAAGACTAGGAAGTTCAGGGTAACTTTAAAAATCGGAATACTTTCAAAATCGTATTAGCAATAACTTCTTGTGAGTCTACATCAAAAATTGTTTGTACGGCTTGGTACCTGTGGCTCAAGCAGCTAAGGCGCCAGCCACATACACCTAAGGTGGCGGGTTTGAATCCCCAGCCTGGGCCCACCAAACAACAATGATGGCTGCAACCAAAAAATGGCCAGGCGCTGTGGCGGGCGCCTGTAGTCCCAGCTACTTGGGAGGCTGAGACAGGAGACTTGCTTGAGCCCAGGAGTTGGAGGTTGCTGTGAGCGTGATGCCATGGCACTCTACCCAGGGGGTAGTGAGGCTCCATCTCACAAAAAAAAAAAAAAAAAGAATTGTTTGTACCACAACTTTTGGAAGCATTGAAATCAACAAAAGCACAGTGGCTGCCATTTCAACCATCAACGTAGACAGCATATATGATATGCTGTACAAGGTCTAGGATGACTGTGTGGCAGGCAGAGGGAGGCATATCGAGACTTTGGAAGATTTTAGAAATAATTGGAATCGTTCTTTTAGATAATATTTTTGAATACATTTTTATAGGTAATCTAAATAACTTAGTTCCTGAGCAATAAATTATTTTAGTATAGTTTAACCCTGGGTCATTCATTTGGGAATCTTATCTATATCACTTTTTAGTAGGTATACATTGATCTAACTTAAAATAACTGGTAGCATTCAAACTCCAGCTTTATAAAATGCCTCTCACATTTTCTATAAAGCTCTTTATCTTTTTCTTTTTTGAGACAGAGTCTCACTTTGTCACCCCTGGTAGAGTGCAGTGGCTTCACTGTAGCTCACCGGAATCTCAAACTCCTGGGCTGAAGTGATACTCTTCCCTCAGCCTCCCATGTAGCTGGGACTACAGGCATGCCATCAGGCCTAACTAATTTTTCTATTTTTAGTAGAGATAGGTCTTGCTTTTGTGTTAGTTGGTCTTGAACTCCTGAGCTCAAGCGATACTCCTGCCCCAGCCTCCCAGAGTCCTAGGATTATAGGCGTGAGCACTGTGCCCAGTCTGCTGTGATGTTTTTATACAGGCACAATGTACATTAAGTGAATCAGGGTAATTGGGGCATCCATCATGCCAGACATTTAACATTTCTTTGTGTTAGGAACATTATAATTCTACTCTTCTAGTTATTTTAAAGTATGCCCTAACTTTATAGTCACTTTGTTGTGCTATCAAATATTGGCCACTCTATATTTTTTATCCATTAACTATCCTCACTTTACACCTCCCTCCCCATCTCTGATAATCATCTTTCTACCCTCTGCTGTTGTTCTCACCTATGTATATCGATTTTTTTTAGTATGTATGAGTGAGAATACACAAGATTTGTCTTTCTGTGCTTTGAAGCCCTAACTTCTTATGTGATAGTAATTGGAGATGGGACACTCAGGAAGGTAATTAAGGTTAAATGAAGTAAAAACCTGGGGCCCTAACCCGATAGGACTAATGTCCTTACGAGACACCAGAAAGCTCTCTCTCCAGGTGCACACTCTGAGGAAAGGCCATGTTAGGATACAGCAAGGAGGTGGCCATCTACAAGCCAGGAAGAAAGCCCTCACCCAGAAACCAATTTTGCCCAGACCTTCTTCTTGGACTTCAGCCTCCAGAACTGAGAGAAAATAAATTTCTGTTGTTCAAGCCATCCAGTCTGCGGCATTTTGCCATGGCAGCCCAAGCCAACTAGTACATTCTTTTACATAACACCGCAGAATTAACTAAGTTCAAGAGCCCACACCACTTGCCAAACCTACCTATGATATAGGATGCGGGATCAAACTGGTCTCTGGGGCTAGAGAGAGTGGGGATCAGCCACGTCAGGGCCGCACTCTTCTCACAGTACTGGTCCTGGATGAAGCCTCGGATCTGAGCATAGTACGGCTTTCCATCTTGTTCGTCAATCACAGAAACAACATCACCAATCTGGTAATATACTCCCTGAGGGAAATAGAAGATAGTCCCATATTTAAAACAAAAATAGAATAGTACTATAGTTATAAATGAAACTTCCTTAATATGAAAGCAAGTTTTCAAGGTAGTCAATAAAAGGTCTTAGAGATGGTCTAATAAATATATATGCATATATGTGTGTGTGTGTGTGTGTGTGTATATATATATATATATATATATTTCTTTTTTTTTTTTTTGAGACAGAGTCTCACTATGTTGCCCTGGACAGAGTGCTGTTGCTCACAGCAACCTCAAACTCTTGGGCTCAGGCGATTCTCCTGCCTCAGCCTCCTGAGTAGATGGGTATTGTTTATATTTTTGATGCCAATTTCTGAAGTTGTTTCAACTTTGAAAAAATTATATACAAACACACATGTGATTATATGATAATTTACATCTGGGAAAAACATTTTTTCATCATTTTTATATCACAGCAATATTATCCCTACTTTTAAAAACAGACTATAACTTTTTTAGAGCAGTGTTAGGTTCATAATAAAATTGAGCAAAAGATACAGAGATTTCCCATATGTGCCCTTCCCCCACCCAGGCATAGCCTCCTCCCTTGTCAATCAGCATCCTCCTCAGAGGGTACACCTGTTACAACTGAGGACCTGTGCTGACACAACACTGTCGCACAAGACGACAGTTCACATCAGTGTTCACTGATGGTGCTGTGTATCCTGTGAGTCTGGGCAAATGTATAATGATATAATGATGTGCATACACCATTATAGTATCATACAGAGTAGCTTCACTGCCCTAAAAATCCTCTCTGCTCCACACTATCCCTACCTTGTTAACCAGTCATGATGCTGTGACTTGCTGAAAGCCATATGAGGCACAGACTGCAGCTGAGGCTCCTGTATCAGCTCAGCAGTCTTTTTCAGTACTGTCTTGAAAATCTGTGTTTACCTGGTAAAAATGTGCTCTACACACTTCCCTCCCCAACTGTCCATTCAAAGAAAATGAATTGAAACTAAAAGAAATGAGAAACTCTTCGGATCATTATTAGTATTCAGTGTGTGTTTACCCTCGATTTGCCATCCATCTCCCAGACCCCTGCTGTCTGTCTCTTCTACTCCCCATTCAGTTTCATATCCTCCTAAGAGACGATACTGGTACCTTTCGCGTTTGTGTTTTATTCATTTCCTGCTCCACTGTATATCCAACTAATCTGCGTATGTCCTGTGTTTAAACCTTCCTGATGCCTCTGCCATCCCATGTCCTCGTCCCTGATCTTGAACTGGAGATACTCTCTCCTTTGAACATCCACAACAGCCGACTGAAATCTTCACGATACTCAGCACTTCCTTAAATGAATGTAGTTGTCAGAAGCACACTGTCATTGACTGTGGGGATATGTAATTCATTGCTGCTACCCCAGAAGCAAGGCCTTCACAGCTGGTAAAGCCTCAGGGTTGTGTACCTCACCCATAAAACGATTCTGAGGAAGTATTTCCAGTGACTGAGCTGCCACATGAGCACCTGATAGGCCAGGAGTTTCCCCCGGAGGACCTTATCCATGTATCTGAAGTGACCGTCACCCTACATCACTCTGAACAAGTCTAATTAACGCAGGTCACAGTGTACTAACTGTTGGCTCCTACCCATCACCAGTTGGTCCTTCATCCCAGCCACTACTCTGAAGTTCTATGTTGTTTATCACATTAAGTTTGCATTTATGGGCTTGGTGCCTGTGGCTCAATCGGCTAAGCGCCAGCCACATACACCTAAGGTGGCGGGTTCGAATCCCCAGCCCAGGCCCGCCAAACAACAATGATGGCTGCAACCAAAAAATGGCCGGGCGTTGTGGCAGGCGCCTGTAGTCCCAGCTACTTGGAAGGCTGAGGCAGGAGACTCGCTTGAGCCCAGGAGTTGGAGGTTGCGGTGAGCTGTGATGTCATAGCACTCTACCCAGGGGGACAGCTTGAAGCTCCGTCTCAAAAAAAAGTTTGCATTTACGTTTTGCTTTGTTCAATATATCACAGGCACTGAAAAGAATGGTGAATAATTATTACTCTGAAACACAGAGTAGCACGCAAGCAGTTAACACACTAACACCTTAACACCACTTCTGGACTTAATCTGGAAACTGCATGTTTAGCTGTGAAGGTACCACGCAAATCTGAAGATGTGATGATCATCTTCACTATTCACTAAGTACCTACTCCAAAAAGTGCCTGACAGATATGATTTCACTTGACCCACTGAGGTAGTTACTATTCACTGTTATGCAGATGAAAACATTATAGAGAGGTTGGTCCTAATCACACAGCCAGTCACTTGCTAAAGCAGTGACAGCAGGAACGGAACTCTAGGCTTAGGCTCTGGTACCCGACTACCCCACTCTATGACGTGCTGACTATATGACCTTGGAAAAGTTAATAAACCTCTTTGATCTTACTGTCCTCATCCAGAAAATGGGCATAATAGTACCCACCTCACAGAGTGGACTGAATGAAATAAAGCATGTAAAATGCTCAGTGCCTGATCCACAGCAAGCTCAAACTAAATTTTAGCCATTTTATTACTGACAATTTATGAAATGCTGAAAATACAGGAGAGACATTTGCCTGTGTACAGACCGTTTTTGACCATACAGGTTGTAGGCTAAAAAAAAAAAATACACTCAAGGGCATAATCACTTGCGTTTCCCAGTGTCTGGTCCACTTGGATCAGGTATAAAGCACTCTAAGTGGCAGTTTAGACCCACAAACACCAAACAGCCTTTAATGACTGCTGCCAGGCCCAGAGGTTTTTCTGACAACAGCTACTTTCCTAAGATTTCCAAGTTTACAAATAACAGTGTATCACTTCTCTCAATGAAGCAGCAGATGTCCATGGGCTTTGGCCCCAGGAAACCGGACCTTTGCATTCTTCTCTGGAAACATCTTGGATTCTCTCACCATGGACTTACAGTAAGTTTCAATCCCCAATACTGTCCCTATTCCTGTCATCTCTGCTTAAAGGTATTTTACAATCTCTTTACAATCATTTTACATTTACAATTTTGCCCATTAGACATCCCAGTCTACATCCTCTACTAGTCTAAATCCTCCTTCTGGCTTCCTCACCCTTCAGTGCCATCACATTGACTAAGACAGCTTAGTTCTTCATGTCTCCATACTATACATTAGCATTCTAAGAACAATTTCTGCAAACTACAGTAAAAAAATACCTAAGCCCCTCATATCATATTTCAGTAGGCAACTCCTCCTTCTACTCCAGATGTGGCTAGGACATTTCATAACAGTTACATACCGGGGAGAATAGCTTAGAAGGGACAAAAGCATAATCACACCTTATACAAATATAGAATAAGAGACCTTTAGAATAATCCAACATTTTAGCAGCATATTATACAGTAAGCCCAATTCTTCCTTCGGTAACTCTATAGAAGCTTACCTTGTAGAAGATTGATTCTGCAGTGATTATGGTGGACACTGACTCTGGAGCTTTGATGGGCTATGAAAAAAAGTAAAAACATCAGCACAGTCATAGTATGTAAGCGTGCATAGGCATTGTCCCAGCCCCATCCAAGATTCAGTCATTTGAGAAATACTAAAATTTGTTGTTTGATCTTACAAAGTGAAAAATTATCTTCTTGAAGACATTTCCTGTCTCAATTATGGAACTGTGACCCTCCACATCAATTTTTTAGCAATCCTGAATTAAGGCTTTAGGAATTTTCTTGGGAGTTCTTTGAAATTTGCCATCTTCCAATAATGGCAAACTTTGAAATCCCTTCTAAATCTGCAATACACACTTCTGTGCCACAAGGTAGTGGCTAGGCCTCTCCAAATCTGTCCTACTTGACACCAGCTTTGAAGGGGTTGCAGAGATATGATGAAATAATTGCAGATTAACACAGTCCATTGTACTTAAAAGGAATGTATGTGATACAAATAAAAACAAATGAACATTTAACATGTTTTGTCTGGTCAAATGTCTGAATTATAAAAGCTTCAAATTAGGGATAACTATTCTCAATAAGATTGTCATCTGCACAACAGTCTACTGCAGGGGCATTCTATATTTTATACACATAAACGAATATGTCCATCTTCAGAAATGTCACTTGCTAGTGAATGAAGCAATCCTGTTCTGAAGGGAAAGAATATCATACTGAGGCTTAAAGAAATAGTCTACAGAGTATTGTCCACTGTGTCTACAGTAACAGTGAGAACTTATTGCAAAAAAGGTGCTTTGACTACTCCTGCATGTCCTTCAACAATCTTTTTTTTTTTTTTAAGAGACAGAGTCTCATTTTGTTGCCCTGGGTAGAGTGCTGTAGCGTCATAGCTCATAGCAACCTCCAGCCCTTGGGCTTAGGCGATTCTCTTGTCTCAGCCTCCCAGCACAACACCCAGCTTTTTTTGTTGTTGTTAGTTTTACAGGGGACCTGCCACTCTCAGTATATAGGGCCAGTGCCCTATTTACTGAGCCACAGGTACTGCCCTCAACAATTTTCTTATTGCAGAAAAAATAAAGAAGGTTTAGACAAATTTTTAATTCTTTTTTTTCTTTTTGAGGCCGTCTCAAGCTGTTGCCCTGGAGTGCCATGGCATCACAGCTCACAGTAACCTCAAACTCCTGGGCTTAAGTGATTCTCTGGCCTCAGCCTACCAAGTAGCTGGGACTACAGGCGCCCGCCACAACGCCCAGCTATTTTTTTTTTTGGTTGTAGTTGTCATTGTTGTTTGGCAGGCCCAGGCTGGATTCAAACCTGCCAGCTCCTGTGTTATGTGGCTGGTGCCCTAGCCACTTGAGCTGAACTACAGGTGCTAAGCCAAAATTTTTAATTCATATTCATCAAATTTATAATCTATTCTCTGGGCCTGTAACAACAGAAGAATATGGGATGATGAGTTCCAGTACTATTATTTACTTAGATCTTTAAAGAATGAAAAAAAAGTTTTCCAGGTATAGCTGGTCGTCTGAAGAACCATAATCTCTCTTATTCCTTTGCACAGAGAACCCAATAAAATGGGTTTAAGGCTGATGTTTCCTTTAAATTCATATTTATATTTTCAAGAGAAGGGGAAGCTAAAAAAAAAAAAAGAGAGAAAGAGTATCATTAACTTTATAAACAGTGAGTCTCTTGCAATAAGAGCTCTTTCCCTTTGGGGAGTCTGGACCACTCCCCAGCATACTGCAGAAGAGTTTCCAAGGGAAGAGTCCACAAAGGTGAGAAATGAAGGCGGCGGCAGGACACACTACACACAAAATCATTACAGTAAAAGGCATTGTGCATAATCATCTTACATTTTTTAATTTAAAAATATGTCTTCTCCCTTTTCCTTTAGTAGAAACTTTCTTTTCAGCAGCTGGAGTAGATTTGTATTTAGTGTTTCTGAGCCGAGCAGACCTCCTGTGAATTTCCTGCTTACTCTGTTACATAAAGAACAAAAAGAGAAAGAAATAAAAACTGTAGAAAGTTTGCTGCCCCAATACAACCATCTTACATGGATCCCAGCTTTATGTACTTTATAAAGTCATTTAACGAATACTTAATGCTGTGTTTTAAAACGATGACATAATATCCTACTTAATAACATGATACATAACAGAAACAATCTTTATTAACAGGGAAAAGGTGCAGGGCCTACAACACTGGCTGCATGACCCTGTTTAAGACTGTGTACGCACTGGTCTCTTGAGATGCCTGGTTGCTCCTACCCCAAATATTACAATGGGCAATTTCTGAAGGGCTTTTAAGTTTCTTGCTTCTTTATGCTCTGAATTTCTCACAATAAAAAAGAGATGCTTAGGAATGGACCAAACCAGTGCAGCCCTCCGCAGGTGAGGAGGGGCGTCCGGGTCCCGCAGGCTGTGCAGGCGATCCGGGCAGCCCGCGCCCGCCCGCTCCTCGCCGGCCCGGCCTCGGCCAGCCTCGCGCCCGGACAGCCCCGGGGGCGGGCGGGGCCCAAGGAGCTCACCTGCTTGCCGCCCCCGCCCCCGTTGCTCTGTGGAGGGGTGGCCGAGGTGCTGGCAAAGGTCGCCGCGCCGAAGCCGCCGCTGCCGCCGCCGCTGCCCCCCGTCCCGCCGGCCGCCCCTGAGCCGGCGCCCCCGCCGCCCGCGCCGCCCCGGCCAGTGCAGTGGTGGCAGAGGATTTCCCCCTGCGGGCCCTTCTTCCACATGGACGAGGACGTGGTCTTGCAGACGCTGCAGGTGGGCTTCAGGCCCAGCGGCATGGTGGCCGGCTCGGGCGGCCCCCGCGGGCGCAGGGACACGGGAATGGCGGACGCTGGCCCGGCCGCCCGCTGGCCGGCCCGCCTAAACCGGCGACAGGAGGAGCGGCGAGGCGCCGAGCGGTCAGCCCAGGGACTGGGCCCTGGCCGCTGCCCCCTGGAGGCGGAAAGCAGGTCGGACCGGCTCCGCGCCCAGCCCCAGACCCTGCCCCCGGAGGCCGCTGCGCCAGCAGGCGGAACCCGGGCGGGGCCCGGCCTGCGGGACGCCCGAGCGCGGCCGCAGATGCTTCCGTCGGTGGGCGGGGCCACGCGGGCCGCCTGACCGGAAGAGCGGTACCCAGTGTTTGGGTGCTCGCTGCAGTTCCACTTGCTGTCGCTGAGCGGCGGGGTTGTCAAACTTTTGGGGTTTAAGGAGTCGACTTGCCAGGTAAAATGTAGGACGCCCAGTTAAGGTGCATTAAACATAAACAACAGATAATTTTTTTAGCATGAATGTGACCGATGGCATAATCGTTGTTCGTCCAAAATGCATAATTACCTGGGAGTCCTGCATTTTTATTTGCTCAATCTGGCATTTCTATTCAGGACTCCTTTACACATTCTTAAGAATTGCAATTTAGGCTTGGCACCTGTGGTACAGTGGATAGAGCGCCAGCCACAGACACCGGGGCTGGCAGGTTCGAGCCTGGCCCAGGTCCAGCTAAACAACAATGACTACTGCAACCAAAAAATAGCTGGACTTTGTGGTAGGCGCCCGTAGTCCCAGCTACTTGGGAGGTTGAGGCAAGAGAATCACTTAAGTCCGAGAGTTTGAGGTTGCTGTGAGCTGTGATGCTACCGCACTCTACAGAGGGCGACATAGTGAGACTCTGTATTTTAATTTATACACTATGTCTCCGAATATTTTTGCTTATGTGGATTATATCCATGAACATTTATGTATTCAAAGTAAAAATGCAGTCAGTTTACAGCCTAAGTGTCAAGCGGACACTCCTTAGACATTGGGTGACATCATTATATATGCCGGTGAGAAAATGAGAGTGGAAAAGGTAAATAACTGGGTTAGCATTGTTGGAAAACAATTTTGACTCTGAGGACCGCCTGCAAAGGTCTTGAGATCCAACAATTGACAACCGACTGAACTAGGAAGGCGCTTGATTTGGAACCAGATCGCTACTGTTAATGTCCGCAGTCAGAATGGGCCTCGCTGGAGAAACAGGACCCTCCTCAGCCGCGCTGGGTAGAGCAGTGGTTGCAAACCCTCTTCATGACCTTGAGTTTTCTAGACGTGGTATCCTAGGAGATAGATCGTGATGAATATGTTGGGTTGGGGGAAGAAACGTGCATTAAATGCCTGTAGTGAAATCTCACTTAGTGCTGATAACACCTGTGGACGGAGGTCCTAGCCCTGTTTAACTGTTATCAGGCATCACTGGAGTACTGCAGTCTGGACTGGCTGCGGTCACAGCACCTGCTCTCGGCACCACCTCTTGGCTTTCCATAGCCTCTAGGGGCGTGGCTCAGTCTTCCGGCTCTGAGTCCAGGTTTCCTCAACAGTGAAACAAAGTGACTTTTGGCCAGGCGCGGGCGCTGTGGCGGGCGCCTGTAGTCCCAGCTATTCGGGAGGCTGAGACAAAAGAATCACTTGAACCCGAGAGTTTGAGGTTGCTGTGAGCTGTGATGGAACAGTACTCTACCGAGGGCCACAAAGTGAGACTCTGTCTCAAAAATAAATAAATAAATAAATAAATAAATAAAATGGTAGATAAGATTGTGGCCTAACAGCTTCTATCAGTCTTTATTTTCTTTATAAAGCCTCCCATGAATGTAAAAATATTAAATAAAATTTATATATTCTCTCTTGTTCATCTGTCCTATGCTAATTTAATTCTCAGCCCAGCCATAGAACCTAGGAGGCTAGAAGGAAGTTTTTCTTCTCCTACAATGCACTCTATGAGGAAATCTAGGGACTGAGTTCCATGCTCCTCCATGTATCTGTCTGCCACAGAGTAGCTCTCCCTGCACCTCATCTGCAAGTGCTCTCTCATTCACTGAGAACTTCCACTCCTGGCTCACCAGCTCCCTGGCTACTATAGGACACCCTTCTGGGTGAGGTCAGCATTCACAAATACAGTTGTCCCTCAGTATCTGTGACAGACTGGTTTCAAAACCCTTCAGGAAGCCAAAATCCACATGTGCTCAAGTCCCTATATAAAATGATGTAGTGTTTGCATATAAACTCTAGATTACTGATAATACCTAACACAATGTAAATACTATATAAATAGTTGTTACACTGCATTGTCTTTTCATATTTTTATTTTTGCACCGTTCTTTTGCATTTGTATTTCTTCAAATACGTTCCATCTGTGGTTGGTCAAATCTGTGGCTACCACAGGATGACAGTATAACCACCCAACACCCATCATGTCCAAACCTCCTCATCCCATCCTTTTTTTTTTTTTTTTTTGAGACAAGAGTCTCACTTTGTCACCCTGGTAGAGTGCTGTGGCATCACAGCTCACAGC